GGAGCGCTTTTAATGTGTCTGACTGCATTCTGAGTCTGGACGTCCAAAAAGTACTCCTTGGGTGGAACTGGGTTGTCTTCACCAGTAAGTTCCAAGTCAAGATCGTCTGGGAGAGGCTAGAGTGTACGGGGCTATGAAGGGAGCTGAGCCTTTAGGCTGTAGAGTAGTGTTGAGCACGTTGTCAAGCCCAAGGACGACCCCATACTTAGTTCATCTTCTTTATACACCCTGGGCATCAGGTCAAATCCTATTCAATTACTTGCGTTAGCTTGTGCCCCCCTTGAATTTTCAATTCCCTTGCCTGGTTTTTGAGAGCTTCGTATTGACCGCCCCCCCCCCCCGCCCCGCTTCCTTAGTCCCATACTAGCAAACGCATCGCCTCTGCATTTTACGCACATTTCCTTTCTGCCGCCTCACTACGCATACCTATCACACTACCATCCCCAGACCAGTTAGTCCCACATCCCCGTTTCTCCCCAGTGGCTTCCTGACGATAAGGACCCCATCTGACTTACATGCTCCCTCGTCCTCCCATCCTCCCTCGTCCTCCGCTGCAGAAACCAAGGCCAGACGTGTCATAGATCAGATTACTGCCCCAAATCCCATGTGATGTTGGAGGCCCACATATCCAGAGCCATTAGAGACCTCTGCTCACCAATAGCTGGCCTCTCTAGGTAGTTCATCTTTGGAGTCTGTTTCAATATGACAAGGACGTGCAAATTCGTTTGCTTGTACATTTCTCCAAATGGGAACTTAGCAGACAAATCACACAATGTGAGGCACAAAAGGATCCAGCGAGCCCTGACTTGTGTGGAGGCCAGTGGCCCAAGGGGCAAGTTGCAGAACACCAGTCCCTCACAGCAACCTCGGACGCTGCCTTCCTCCCCCATACCACCCTGATCCACCTCTTGGATCCAGGGATTTCTTTCATCATCAGCGTACAGCATCTTTGGTTTATCCAGTTATATAACTCACTACTCATTGAGTAAGGGAAGAAACCCTCTTTGTTCAAAATGGACCATTTACACATTCTAAGAAGGCAGTTGGCTAAACTTTAGTTATAGAAATTCACCCTTCCCACAACTCCCGATTCTAGAGGTGTGATTCTCCTCAGACTAGTGAGGCCAACACTTGCCTTTCATTTGGAGGCAAAGTCCTCAGTCCCTGCCGATCTTAAATTACATCTCTCTGGACCTTGTAACAAGGTCTGAATACCTCTAGTCAAGGACCTTGCAAATCTTTCTAGCACACACTGTCTGATGGGCATGCTAGGACATATGTTCAGGAAACAACCAACAAAAGCTCCAGGGTTCTCTCCCCTCCGCCCCCTTGTCCGAGGCAGGAAATGGCAAGTCAAACTCTCTTGACCCTAAAGCACACATTTTGTCTTCAGATGTTGTCCTTTCTAAGATGAACTGAGACCAGCCCAGCAGGAGGAACCTATTGTTACACTCCCCAGGCTAGAGCAGCCCCTGTTATCTCGGATCTTTGTGTCCAATCTCTGACCCAGGTGTAACTTTCAAGGTGGAATCTTGTCAAGGGCTCTTTAAGAAGCCCAGATACTATTCACTGGGCTCCATTTATCCCATCTGTTCTCACAAAGCTCCGGCTGATTAAGCAGGTGTGAACGTTCCCAACGTAAACCATGGTATTCTTCTCAACAGATCAAGGCAGCTGTCCGGGCACCCCCAGAGCCCATTCACACAGGGTCACGTGAGGCTGTCCTGCAGAGGACAGACAGGTTCACTTGACTTAATCCCAGTTCTTCAAGAACCAGCAAGTAGAGACCACATGGTCCCTTGCACTATCATCCGAGCTCTTTCTGTTTTGAAATCGGGCTGAGCAAAGAGCCACTGCCACTGCGGTTAGAAAACCTCGGCATCATCAAGATTTGTCTCCAGGTGGTCCTGGACTCCTTGCCCTGAACTCGGGTCAGCCAAGTCAACCAGTGTCTGCCATGACCCTTACCCTGGCCCTTCCACAGGACCAGGACAGCTCTACGTGCAGCAAGCCTGACAAGCCCCGTCCCCCTTCCTGATGATTCAGGGAGGTGGAATAAGGGGAAAAGGGTAATCAGAGGAAAAATACCACTTGAGATAAACAGGCTTTTGTGGCAGACCAACCTCGGTTCCAGACCTGGTTCTTGCATTTCTTACCTGTCACCCCTTGGACAAGTTACCCAGCTTCTTCCAGTCATTTGACACATCTGCAAAATGGAGGGATTTCTACTCTGCCGGATCGTGTGAGATCATTGCCGTGGCCCAGCTTTTGTGCCAGGCACACAGGTTCATCCCACCTCGCTGCTCAGTCGAGAGGTTACAGGTGAATTAACGGCAAGGAACTGCTTTCCCTTTTACAGTAAACATGCCCAAATAACTGTTCCTTGCTGCTGCCAGAGCTCGTTCCAAAGTACTCAGAACTCCAACAGAATAACAACAATTTTTCCTTACACTTGAGAGACATGAGAGCAGGGGCACTAAAGACCTTGAAAGGCAAATGTAGTGAAAGAGGATTGAGATCCTACTGCATGTTCAGAAAATCATCCACTGACCATGATTATTTCTTTCTGGCCAACCTGACACCAACTGCCCATGCCGTGAGCCACCAAGAACAGTGGGTTACAGGCAGCTTGAGGCTGTCCATGGTGATGCAGAAAAGCAAATCCCAGGCAGTGGTAAATCTAAGAAGTTCTATCTGGAATGCATTTTATATGTGCATGTGTGTATATATTTTTTTCTTGGCAGGAGACTTACCTTCCAAATTATGTTTCCCTTAGGCTATTATTAAAATAGTGTGCATTTCCCAAACACACACCACTACCAGCAGGGCAGCCCATAAGTGACCGGGATAGTCTAACTGGGTAGAGTCTAACTGGGATTAAGTGTTTGAAAATACACAAATACACCTCTGTGTGTAGATATGATTGTGTGTATACACACACAAACACACAGGACTTCCAACTCTGTCTGCTAAGAAACACAAGTGCAGAGAACTTTGATCAAAGTCCATAAGACCTTTAGAAAAGCATGTTGGGTCAACACACATGTGCTGTTTTTTCAATTCTTTAACCACACCTGTCACCTTTCATCAGCTTTAACCTGACAGGATTGACACATGAAAACCTTATTCTTTACAATGATCCCGTATTATTTTTTCAGAATTCCCAACATTTAAATGTCAAAAGTAGAGTAAAATGGGCATTTAATTCCGCACATGGACACTCATGCTGAGAAATGGATTTCTGTAGTTTTTACTGATTAATTCCGAATTTAGAAATCACTTCAAACATTGATGAGTAAAACTTTAATCTTACATGAAAACTGAATGTGGACATTTGCATATCCTAATGATTCCTCTACCGCCGGACGGATAAATCACGCAGTAACCCAGACGATCTAGTTACACGTTTTCCTAACACTCTCACCTCCATCCTGTGTGGCAGCTGATGGTGCTTCCAGGCATTTGGGCGTGAGGAAACATTAAGAGTACTTCATTCTATTAAATATGAGTCGATTCCAGAGCACATTTCATTTCTGAACCATTTCCAAGCATTGAGAGTGGTATTAATGTGCTGTGTTCTAAGAGGATCTTCCCAATCGCTTTTGCCAATGTCTTCTTCACTGGTGATGATATGGAAATAAAGCGCCAAAAATGAAGCTCAATGAACCACAGGCAGCATCCTAATTGTGCACTCCAGGATGATAGCACTACAACGCCCAACTGCTCCTCGTCAATTCCATGTTTGTTTCTTGAAAAATTACCTAAATTAATCTGGGCCAAAATGCAGTAAAAATCCCAACTGTGGTAGCATGGAGAAGCCATGCCTTTAGAACAGGAATCCATGATCTTTAGGGACCCCTCTTCCTCCTCTCAATACTTTTTAAAGTTAATCTAAAAAATATGAGATGATTGGGTATAATATGCTACCTTTCATGTAAAGAGGCAAAAAAGAAAAATCTATTCATATTTGCTTCTATTTGTATAAAGGAACTTCAATTAATAAGTTTATCTAATGTGTGGGAGGTAACTGGGCAGATGGATGCAGGAACAGGACAGAAACTTGCGCTTTGCACCTTTATAGTACGTGTTTTGGTTTTTAAACCCTGTCTATATATTACCTACGTAAAAACTAAATTAGACAAATAAATATTATATGGCATTTGCCTTACTGATGGACTCAAAACTCCTATGTTACCAGGTTATCTTTCAGGTATTTTGCACATATATAAAAAGGATTTTTACAAGAAAATAATAAGGAGTTTAAAAGTGGAAACTGAACTTTTAAAGTATAATGTATCACGGAATGCCGAATTATATTTTTCCCACTAAGCTTTAAGTTGGAAGAAACTTCTCAGTGCTTTTTTATTTCAAAAAAGAAAGTTGTATTTGGTAGTCTGGTATTTGCTTGAGAGTGAGTGCACACACACACACACACACACACACACACAGAGGCTTCCTGTAGTAGTTATTAACATACTACCTTTTAGCTATGCAAATGGACATAGTCTGCCAACACAAAAGGGCAAGTAGAATTTTGTGTAGCACCATCTATACCTATTTTTATTCTGGTCTGTCATCACACATGATACATTTTACTTCAAAAATTTAACTGTTAATTTTCGTAAAAAATTACCCGCAAACTGTTAGGTTTCTAACACTCAGGAACTAAAGTTCAAAAATTTAAGTCAATCGTTTGTATGGTTTTATCAAAATCATAGGTGCTAATTACTGACTTTTTGAAATAAAGTACAAATCTAAGTGTCGTAAAATGTTGTTTCTTAAGGTACAGATGAGAAACGACTTTGTAAAGCACGAACCCTTCACGTGCTATTAACTGAGGCTTTGGAAAAGTAAGGTCTCCTCACAAAGCTTTTTTTCTACCTCATATGCTAAACTCTTAGGTTTTAAAATATTCAACTTGCCTTTATTCCTGTTTTGGGGAGGGTGTGGGGGTGTGAGCCTGCCAGCTGGTTAGAAGCCAAGAGTTATCCAGTCAGACCTGAGTGGAAAAGTCTAGGATTTGTTTATTTCATATTCAAGTTCAAAAGCAAGAGACAATTTAAATAATAACAGAGTAACAGGAAAAGAAATGCAAAGAAAGAAAACAAATCAGTTAGACTCCAGAAGAACCTTCAAGAATATTTAATTCGGAAAATGTTATTGGTTTCGAGAACTTGACTGAAAGAAAACAGCTGGGCAGAGTTCAAGGTTTTAAATTAAAAAACAATCTAACAAAGTCTATGGGGATAACTCTTTGAGCCACATTTTGGAGACCAGATTCATTTCTACCAAGTAAAAATAATAGCAGTCTAAGCTAAAAAGGAAATTCCTCACAACTGAGGTAGTTACTAAGTATCAGCACATTTTCCAAGTTCTCACAAGGCAGCTTAGCTATTTACAATCAATTTTTCCTCATACATAAATGGAGCGCCTTTTCAATTTTATGTCTTCTGTGATTTGTTTAAAAAATAAAAGAACAAAACACTTATACACACCAGCCAGAATATGCCTATTTTATTAACATCATGCTTTAATAAATAACTGGCTACTTCTAATAAAATTAAGCCTCTGTTGACAACAGCCCCCAATATTCCATTTTGTCCATTCTACAGAATTTGGTGTAAAAAGTTGAAGGAAATGTAGACCCTGAGCTATCAAGTAATTATGTTTCAATATAAAAATAGAGAATTACTCTTACAACTGAAGATTAAACAATAACACAAACAACCTCTCTGTGGGTTTCAGCTTCCGTGGAATTGGTTGGGATCTTAATGGCCGTCTAAAGCAGGAAGAGACTTGCAGAGCGTGATTCTTTCTGAAGACTTCTGGGAACTCTTTTTAACGTGGTTTTGTTACGTTCTCATAGTTTTATGGGCTGTCATTTGGTAAGGACTCAAGGAGAGAAAGGGCTCCAAAGGGGCCAAGGCAGTGCTTACTTACTCTTTGGCCTGGGACAAGAGAGAATGGCCTTTGCCCGTTCACCCGAGCGGCTAAAGGTCATCACTAAGATGTGGTCTTCTCAGCTCTACCTACTCCGACTCCTTCCCCGCCCCCCGCCAAATCCTGCCAACACATGAAAAACAATCTGGACACTCAGATCTCCCCAAGTGGGCTGCTTGGCTCACAGGGTAGCACACAGCTGTGAACCATGCATGGCAAGACCCTTGCCTTTCCGATCAGACGGGGCTGGGAGAGAAAAAGACTCAAATAAGACATCTTAAATCTCTTTTAAAAAAAAAAACAACCCTGGGATCCAAAAACAAACACAAATACACCTGCTCGGACGAAAACGTTGCTTGAGTGTTGATAGTTACTCCCTGAGCCCAGGCTGTACCCCAGTTCTGGCTAGCCCCCAGACAGCTCCCTCTATATGACCGGGGTTGAAATCTGCAACAAGAAGGACCAAATGAGATTGTTGGGATATCAATTCAAGGAGGGTCAAGTGTGGACATGAAGACCAGCAAACGGTGGGCGTGCTCACTTGCCTGGATAAAAAAACCAAACCAAACCAAACCCACCCCCAAACTAAGTGTGAACAGGTGATAACTACGATATCCTGCATGCCTTATATCTTTCGAGGGAGAATGCAACAGGAATCTTCTAGATGGACTACACTTTAAGCGGCTTCAAGAAATGGACCTGTGATCTTAGTTTATACAATCCAACTCAACCAAAATGGGTAGTCTGCAGTCTCTTCCAGTCACCAGCTATAAATGAAGTATAACCTTCTTCTTGTACTGATGTTTGAATACAACCTGACAAGTGACTCAGAAGCCCCCTTGCGCCTTCACATTCTGTCCTAACTTAATAAACATTTTTAAAATGACCTCCTCTTCTCTCCAGATAAGGCAACTAAAAACAACAGGGATAAATGGCAATTTTACTGCTTGTTGGGCTTTTTCTTTTAATAAGGTAACATGATAAATAAAACCTGCTTCTGTACAGCTATTTAATATTTCAGAGATACGTACACGTTACATGCCAAGAAAGGACCCTGGTTTTCTTGTAAGAAACAAGGTGAGACCGTATTGAAGAAGAAAAAAAAAAACCCACAAACAAACAGAACAAAAACAAAAAAAAACAAACAAACAGAGTGATAAAAATCACAAATGCACAACTAACTACAGTTCTGTACCTACACTGTTAGCCACATTTAACATGATTCTGAGGAATCAGGACCGACCTTACGTACAAATCCCCTTTTCCCGCAGAACTGAATGAAAAAACAAAGTCAGCATCTTTTAAACCAGTGGCCACATAGTAAAAACTGTACATTGTTGTCCATTCATTTAAAAAGCAAAGTCACTAGGATGGTATAAAAGTGATAACCGGTGCCTTTTTGATGATGAACACTTCTTCTCTAAGGTTGAGAATTATCTCCATTCTCCCTGCATAACCAGGGACAAGATGCAGAAGACAGTGAGGAGGTAGGGCTGGGCCCCAGCGGGGACCCCAGCGCTGCTGGCTTTATCGCTGACGCTCTTCCCAGAGTGGTCAGTTGCGTTATACTCAAACTCCGAAGGGCACTGCTGATACTCACATCCGCTTCCACTTCCTTCTCCACTGCTCTCATCACCTATTTTTGAAAAAAAAAAAAAACAATGGAATAGAGATTTCACTCTGCTGCTTCTCATCACAAGGTATATAACAATTTGTCCTTTAGAAGCACAAATGCTTACTGATATCAAAGAAGTCCACATCATTCCCATTATAAGCATTCTTCATTTTACTGGTCATAACTCGAAGAGCCATGATTTGACGAAGGATCAGTATGTCCGGTTTGCTGGTGTCAACCTGGACCTCCGGATTATTGCCCTGGTTGGCTAATCCGTTTCCTGTCACTGCAAACAGGTACCTGCAATGAGGAATGACCCCATTCACATGATCAGTAAAACAAAAAGTTACAGAAGACAGTCAAAGATTCCTGCCTAGGTTCTAGCATTTTCCACGGAGTGCAATGAAATGCAAGTGCTTGCCTTTCGAATAACTTGAATCTCTCCTTTTCCTGGGTATACATTATGTTTCTCCAATCTGACTGTGACCTTTTTGAAAACTACCCATTTCGTGGAGGTTGGTGGGTCAGAGTGAAGTGGGTACTTGTCTAACTTACTGAGTATGTAGGGGAGGGACACAGAGCATCGTCAAGTAAGAGAATGAGACCCTTGGAGAACTGGTACTTTATGAGGCCAGGCCGTCAAGCACAGGACCACAGGTATAAAACATTAAAAATAATGACACTATTAAAACCGCTCAATCCCTCATTGCAGCTGTAACACCAGCTTATAACCACTGTCACAAACCTTTGACCCAGAACTCTTTGCAAGTAGCTGGGGGCCTTCCTGACACTTCTACAGCAGAGCCAATTCCTAAGAATGTCTAGAAGCCTTCCATGTTGTTGCCACCTACTTGTGAAATGCTTCATGCTGCCTCGACTAAACAACTGAGCAAACCTTCTCTGAAAGGTCTCCGGGCATCTAGGAAGGGAGAGATTGCACACCCGTTCGATGGAGGCTAACCTGCTTTTGCCTTTTCCATTCCAGCAGTCATCCTCATTGCCGTTTCCTGCAGCCATCCTCTCATCGTTGCAGACGTTACTAGGAAGAGAGGACCAGAACTTCTTGGCCTGCTTCAGTTTCTCCTTGACATCAGTAACCTCATTAAGAAAGAGAGAAAAAGAGACCTCTGTAAAACCCCAAAACCACCTCCACATGTGCCCTTTTCATCACTGTAAAGTATCTCAGAGTCTCTCCGTAGTCAGAGGAGAAAAATGCAGATCACACTGATATGTAAAATGTATAAAATCACCCAAAGAATTAACAGGTGAAATAGAAGCTCTGTGAAAACAATGTTGCCTAGTGCCTAGATCCACCGTCCATTCTCGCTCTCCATTAGAACCGCCATCTGAGGCCCACGGGGTCTCACACCCCGGAGATACACTGATACGACACAGTCTCTTCTCGCGGGCTTTTATAACTCAGGATCCAACCTATGTGTTACCCACACTGTGAAACAAAAGGCAGGTGTTCAGATATGCCTCGGCACACCCCATTTGTTAGCCTACGGATGAAATTTCTGAGCTAGGGAATCAAAGAGGCAGATTCACTGACATCCCTGTGCAAAGTTGCTGGAAAACTTTCACTTGAAAAGACCCAACAGTTGGAAGCGTCCCAAATAAAGATGCATTTGGAGCAAATGTTTTCAGTTCTTTGTCATTAAACACGGCCATTCCTGCCAAAGTGCTCACCAGTCGGTCCAAACTAGTGCCAGCTGCTGTGGTTGGGCGCTCCTCGGGGTGAAAGGGTCTGAAGCGGGCACTGAAGGCACTTTCAGAGATGGAACGGGAAATCCGACCAGCTGGGAGAGGCTTAGGGGGTCCACATCCCTGGAAAACCTGTATTGGCATAAGTGTCGTCATGTGATGGAAGTGACATCGCAGGCTGGAGCGGGCCCCGTCCTCTCCTTTCCAGGACCCGGCCTTCCTTACCTTCTGAGACACCTGCACGCTGTTCTCCTGCATGTTCATAATAGCATCCGAAATCTTCACATCGATGGGATCCATGACCGATTCAATGTTGAAAGGACCCTCTAACCTCTCGGCCACCATCAGCATAGCATCTAACATGAGGTTTGGGGCAGAACAATACAGCATACAAAGGAAATCATTAGCTTGGCCTTGAGTGATCAGTCTGATTACTTTACTGTCTTTGATTCCCTTGGGTGGGGTGGGGGGGGGGGGGGGGGGGGGAGGGCGAGGCATGATCATCATTAATTCATGCTTTTAGATCTATTTCTATGACACAGAACTTCATTCAGTCAGTATGTACCACTAGCTCTCTAGAGTGTGAAGTGACCAGACGAAGGCTTTATTCCACAGCAAGGAAACCCAATCGGGAACCTTCTAACACACTGATTATTCATCCCTCCACGTGTCAGTGGCTGTCGTTGTACGGCTCTGAGCTAGCTCCCAGCTGACAAACCTAAGGCTGGAAGCAGAATAACATTCCCGTTCTCCCAGAGACCTCCACGGATCTTCTCATTTCATGTTCCATTTACAAGCGTCAAAAACATAAATCAGTTTGAATCCCGGCATACCAATTCTTTTCATTTTTTAAATGAAACCCTCTCAGATCCTTGAGTGCACAGTTAGAAAATACAAATGAAAGTGCTCCTAGGAACTCTAATGATCTTTCAAATAATGACATTTTGAGAAATGCAATTTTTGTATTAAGATAAACTTCCCATTTCAAATACAAGGGCCTTGAGTTATTTTAAAGCAAAAACATGTACCTTTTTTTTTTTTTTTTTTTGGTGGTCGGCGGGCCGCTCCCCCTCTGCTGTGGCCTCTCCCGTTGCGGAACACAGGCTCCGGACGCGCAGGCTCAGCGGCCATGGCTCATGGGCCCAGCCTCTCCGTGGCATGTGGGATCCTCCCGGACCGGGGCACGAACCCGTGTCCCCTGCATCGGCAGGCGGACTCTCAACCACTGCGCCACCAGGGAAGCCCTGTACCTCTTTTTATTCAAATGAAAAGACAACCCAAGACAGGGCACAAAATCCATGTGTTCACAATACGAGTCTTCACTAATTACTCTGGAAATCACTTTTTCATTTTGGAGGAGTCTAGAATTTTTTAGGACACATTGAATCTCTTAAATGAAAAGCACTGTATGGGTTTTCTTGTCATCCATGGTTCTTGGGATTATGCGATTTAGTATTTTTCCCTGATACTTATTGTGTAAAATTAGAAGAAATTGGAAAGGTAATCTCCAAATGAGAAAAAGGATGCCTCATTCATGACACGCAGTGAACTTTTAAACTTGTTCTTTCCCCTTAAAGGAGAGTTAGGCTCACATTCTCCACAGCCTTCAGGTAGTCCAAGGACAGCTGCCAGAAAGAAGGGCGAGTTTCTAGAAGATGGTGTGTCTCTCTCAAAGCGCAGGCCACAGCTGAACTTCTACCCGAGCTCGCTGATGGAAAGGAGTTCTGGCATCAGCAGATCAGTGAACCCAAATCTGGTCAGCGACCTTTCCCCTTCCCCCGAGAACAAATGCAACCCAACATTTTAAAGCACGGGCTCATTTCTTTCAACTACAGTTCCGATGTCACAAACCACGAATAGATGTCCGTGCAATGCAATATTTTTGAAAGTCATAACAAATGAAGTTTCAGGTTGCATTGTGGCAAGCGCCAATAAACTGACACTTCCAACCTCTAAGGAAAGGCTGCCAGCATGAATATACCATTGTGCTCGAGGAGAGGAAAAATGCGTTTGATGTGCTAGCAAAAGGGGACTTTTGTAAACAAGTGGCGCACAACCTAACCGTGTTCATCGTTGTCGAAGCATCAGGGCTGCCACGTCCAGAGAGCACATGCCTTCAGAGCCGAGAAGGAGTTGCTGGCTCCAGAGAAAAATATTATGAAGGGACAGACTATAAACATCTCAAACACAGAGGTTTCAACAGGAAGGAAACGGCGCACCTCGTCACTACTTATTCCCCTAGTGGCAAGGAAAGGCCAGATCGTGAACGTGTTCACGTGTTTGTGAAAGGGAACATAAACCCCAATTCTTCTGGCTGTTTGGTGTCTTTGTCAACTTCAGGCCTGCCGGCTGTGCACAAGACCCTGGGAAGGGAGAGGGGCCGGGCCCTTGTCGCGCCGCTGCCATGGCGTTGCGTGTCCCCGAGACTGAAGAATGCGAGTGAGGCTGTGGTCCGCCTGGAGGCTGCAACCCGGGAGCCAAAGCCGCCCCTCAGCCCCAGGGCGAGTCCTGCCTGGCTATCCACGGGGCGCCTCCATAGAAGCGGACGGCCCTGATGAGAAGCCCCAAGAGGAGTCCCACGATGGCTGGTCCGGTGTTGTTGCTTCTGATGGATCTAGGCTGCAGGTCTCCCTTTGCGGGGTATCTGACCGGCTCCTGCCTCTTGCCAGGAACTGGCTGACGTCCCAGCCGGCAATCCCGACCCCCTCATACTAAATTCCCAGTGGCAGCAAACATGGGACGTTCATAAGGGTGGCTAGGAGCCAGATGAATGTTACCACGACGGCAGTATGCGACGGACAGCAAGTTGCACCTACCCGTAATTTATGATTTCCCAGAAACTGACTTTCGTGGTGGTGGTGGTGGTGGGAGTATTTTTCAAAAAGAAGGTTTCCTGTAACCAACCTCTTACGAAGCCAAGTCCAAGGTGTTTTGACTATTCGGATCCACCTTGATAAAGCTCGACGACAGTTTAATAGGTACAGTTCAAGAGAGGGACACGAGGGCTCGGCAGCAAGAAGGCAGAGTTGGAAAACTCATCCTTAGTCTCTTCAAAGGGTCTAGTCCAACTGCAGGAGTTTAGTGCTCAGGACACGCCCCCCGCCACCCGGGCAACAAAGCAGCCCCTTCTCACTAGGGAAAGTGATTCCTCTTGCACTGTGCCGCCGATAATCAGAAACCCAATCTTCAGCCTCGCGACCCGACTGGATGAACAAAAGGCAGTTTCCCGACTTAACCCCAACATCTGATGTAAAGAAGTGGGGAAAAAATCCCTTGCCCATTCATTAACTGCAGTCATTTTAAGGGGGGGGGGGGGAATTCCTTGCAAAGAAAAAAAAAAAGAACTTATGGTAAAGGTATGTAAATTGGGACTGAATTCTATAACCACAGAGCAAATTAAACCCTTGTGAAAATCCATGAAAAAGCACTGGAGATTAACAATGTCTATTACTCCTGGCCTTTTATATCAGCTTATTAGAAATAAATAATAAAACACCCATTAAAAATGAAGCTTAGATATAATTATATTCCTCCTCCCTCCAGAAAGCATCACTTAAAATAACTGAAGAAAATTGATTCCGAAATCCTACCAATTTCCACTTGGGTTGAATTTTTGTTTCATCAAAGATAACAAATGTAATTTGTAAAACACACAGCGAGAATAGTGGCAGCAAGGGAAGTCCTCCTTGATTCACAGTACCTGGTTGAAGACGTTAACTAAGCAAGCCAGAGTATGGTTTTAATATGGACCTGCAGACTCTCGGAAAAAATATGTAGAAGAATTTGTATTTTAAGACGAGTTTCTGAGTTATGGTTTCTGTCAGACACATTAGAAGAACAGACTAGTGTACCTCATTCCTGATGTGCCTGCAGAAAAGTTACCCAAACTAGATCATCGTCACCAGACACTGTTGCTACTGTATAGCAAACGCTACAGCTCTGCCCAGAGAACTAGTGCATTAGATGTTACAGGGGAAAGCGAAAAGGCAAACCATCTTGTTGTTTAAAAATGAATTTAGCAAAAGTGAGCTGCAAACTTGACATTTGGGGTGGGGGTGAGAGTGGGATTAAAAAAGAGAGGAAGAAAGAACTTTTCAACTTTAGATCTAGAAATGCCATGGGCTTTTATTTCCATGGGAAATATTTTCCAGCAACAATTTCTCCCATGGCTTCTTTCTGGGCGTGATGGGCCATTTGTGCGTGTGTGTGTTGACTGGTCTTATGCCTTCCCTTTCATGGGATTCGGCTTTTCTGTGTGTGGAAGATTTTTTCAGGTCTTCTAGCTTTGAGCTATTTAGGCTACAATTGTGCCGAAGCGTTTGATATTCACATCTTTTTTTTTCCCTTGTGTCAGTGTTCTCAAGAATCTGTTGGAGCCAATTTATTGATGCACTTTCAGAGTTAATATGGTAATCAGCTCTCATGCAGACTAAACAGCATTCCCCGGCTCCAATCCCCGCATTCCCCTCCCCCCAAAAACCCTCAGCAAATTGCGTACATGTTCCCATGATGTGGACAAGTAAGTGAAAAATAGGTGCTTACAAAGACACTCAAATTCTACAATTACGTAAATGTGGCTGGGTATGGGAGAAAAACCTGAGTTTGTTTTGGGGTGCTGATAGTATGTGGGTGAAGCCCCACCACCACTAGCAGCTTCAACAACTGCGACTAACATTCCGGGATTCCCATATGCATTAAGCAGGCATCGAGGGAGTCGATGACTGGATATTTCAATCATCCATAATTTGTCCCTTCCCACATAATTAACATTCTTAGAAACAGGCCACTTTACTTCCATTGGTGTCTGGGTTCCCAGTAATGGTTTTCTAAGTTTGAGGTGTAGATGAGAACACTGACCTCTAAAATTATCAGGACAAAAGTCCTTCCATTCTCACCAGAGCAGTCTGTGATTGTTAAATCTCTACAGAAACATAACCCTTACATTTCCACAATCAGATTGCACCTGATCCAAATACCCAATGGGTATCTGGCCATTTGCAGAAGATTTGGTTGCAATGTAACAGATATAACATTTGAAAAGCCGCTTTCACAGCTCAGTGATGGCTGTACTCCAGCATTTACATGGATACCAGCCTATGATGCAGAACTAAAACTGACCTTTAGGGGGAAAATGTCAAAAAATCACTTTCTTGTTATTAAAAGTTGGTATTCGCTGCGTCTAACGTCTGTCTAATGTCTTCGGAAATGCCACCATTAGTTCAAGGGAACATTTACCTGTAGAGTGGTGTGAACTTTGAGTACAGTTAGAACTCTGGCAAACACTACATAACGAACAGAAATTTCATCGCTGACAATTAAAACATTCCTTAGGGAATTCCCTGGCGGTCCGGTGGTTAGGACTCTGTGCTTTCATTGCCAGGGCCTGCGTTCAATCCCTGGTCGGGGAACTAAGATCCCGCAAGCCACGTGGCGTGGCCAAAAACAAAATTTTTTTAATTAAAAAATAAATAAAACATTCCTTGTGGCAGAAGCTTAGCAATCAATAGCAACAGAAATACATTAATCGCCTGCTCACCTATGAAATTGTTCCACTCGAAATCAAGATCCCCTTGGTTGGCCAAACAACCTCTCATGATGTTGGAGCAGTAGTTGTAACAGGGTTTCACAGTCACGAGACCTTGGCAGTGGGAGCAGTAGATCATCTTCAACAGGGCATGGGTACACTGGGCTGTGGGATTTACCTAATTGGGAGAAGAAAAAGACAACGGTGGGGCAAAGATAGACACAGCAATTGCAAGTCTATCAAGTTGACTTTGAAGGCTTGGCCATGAACTTCCCTTAAGAATGAGTCGTGATGGGTCACATTTAGCAGGCCTGGCTTGCTTCTTGAAGAGCAAAATTAGATAAAGAAAAGGGATATGCTGGGAAGAAGGTGGAGGTAGGGATGAACACTGAATTACCTTAAACAACAAAGTTGCATATCACACACAGACTCAACTACTCGCACTCATTTTAAACGGCTCAACGATTTCAAAGTCCTTTTACGAATAAATTTCCAGGATCACCGTAAGACGCAGTAGTAGAGGTGGTCTTTACCTGCCCGCCATCCATGGCCAGCTGTGGCCTCTCGCATCACCGTGTTTGCCTTCCCAGACTGGAACTCAAGCACATCTTCTCTTCAGACACATCGACTACAAGACTGCCCTTTCACACGTAAGCCCCCAGTCGTTTAGAAGGGTACCTCGTGTGTACTCCCTTCTGTGCCAATAGCTGCACAGAAGACAAAATTAATGTATCCTACAGGGAAGAATGTGAATAAATTTGAACCTGGGGTTCTGTGAAGGCCGTCCAAGGCTTGGGGGCAGTATAGCATAGAGTGCTCGGGGAACACTTGATGAAGAGGTGGGACTTCAGTTAAATTCTGAAGAAGGGGTTGGATTTATTTATTTATTTTTAAAATTTTTATTGAAGTAGAGTTGGTTTACAATGTTGTGTTTAATTTCTGCTGTACAGCAAAGTGACTCATATTTATATTCTTTTTCCTATTCTTTTCCATTATGATTTATCACAGGACATTGACTATAGTTCCCTGTGCTGTACAATAGGATCCTATTGCTTATCCATCCTACATATAATAGTTTGCATCCACTAATCAGAAGGGGTTGGATTTCAATGATCAAATGAAGGGAGAACATCGCAGTTAGGAAGAATGAAATGAACAAAAGCATACATGGTACTGAGCAGACCGTGGAATCTTAGAACGGGGTTGAGGAATTATGGGAAATAAGGTTGGCTGAGTACAGGAAGGGCTGTGTATGTGACCGGACAGTAAAGGGGATTGAAAACCAGGCAGAAATCAAGACACCATATGGCAGGACACAGGGAGCTACTGAAAGTTCATGAGCAAAGGAAGAGGCAAGGATGAAGGTGGCACCGAAGACGGATTGGGCTAGGCGTCCTCTATAGAGAAATGAGACTTGGTTTCATCTTTCTTCAATTGTTTGGCCTTTCAATTGCACTTCTATAGGGTGCAATTGTCTTGGGCATAGAAGAGCCGATCCCATCCTGTCACTCATTTCCATCAATGCTTAGAAAGGATCATGGCCAGGATCACAAGCTGGCAGCTCCCCAAGAGTTCCTGTGTTGTCATTCTCTCTGCGCCACCCTCCCCTTTTGGAGTCAATATCAGGGGATTAGTACATTCCTCTCTATCAGTACCAACCAGCTCTGCAAACAGAGACTTCTGAAAGCAGATACCACCGCAGGGAACAGATGCTGGGATGCAGGGCAGTCCAGCAGTGCACTTCACCTGCTCTGGAGCGTAACTTTGGATACCACTTATCAACAGTAGCCTTAGGGACAGGAATGGGAGATTAGCACCATCAGAAGAAAAACTTCACACTGTTAGGCTCCTATCTGATGTACACACACACACCCTCTTATCTCAAACAGAACTCTAGCCTAAAAGGGGGAGGTACATCCAACAGGACGGTAGTTGTATACACCGAAGTCAGGGTTCCCTGCGAACAATTAGGACTTTTCCACAGTTTTAACCAGTGCCAAATGTTTTCCTAGGCAGTAAATTAGTCCTTTTAACTATGTATTAACGTACAGTAAAATCTTGGCTAAACAATGCCCTGGAGGAATAGCCAATCTGGATAGCTAGGTTTCCTGGACAGCAACAAGAGCATGCCTTTAAAGTCACAGAGAGTTAGGACTTTGATACTTTCCCACCCCCTCACTGGACAGAGGAACAAACAGGCCTGGAGAGAGGAGGTGGCCAGACATTCATAGAAGTTGGAAGGGGCCCTAGAGATCACGGAGTACAGCTCTCACATTTGAGGGATGAGAAGACCAAGGCCAAAGAGAATAACTGACTTGTGGGCAGCCACCTCACTGCATGTGACTCCAGCACTGCACCTTAGCCAACACTGAAACGATTTCCCACATATATCATGTGTCCCAGCCTCTTTAAACTGAATTTATGAAACTCGAATCTTAAGCATCAGTAGTTTTCTGCTTTATCTTAAATAAAGCAGAGGTTCCACATTGGTGAGATTGCCAAAAATGGCTGGATTCTGGAGAGGTAAAGAGTTATTATGAAAATGCCTGTGAAAACCAGGTTAGCGCATGGCATTTTTTTATTATGATGCTTATCAGGAAACAATGACTCGTGCGAGAAAACAATGTAAAAAGTTAACATGTCAGCAAGCAGTTACTGAGCACCTACTATGTGCCAGGGATTATTCTGGAATGCATTTGTGATTAGGTAGCAAGGCAAGTAGGAATTTCTAGACTATGGGACCTGTCCTAGAAAACACAAAGAAATTTCCAAATGGTGTAGACCTTTTGGAAATAAGCAAAAATTTTAAACTCCACAATTGTGCTCGAGAAACACTTTTGGCCAAAGAAGTCCTTTCCCTTTCTTTCTCTTTTTTAACTCTACGATGGGGTTCACTACATCCTTGGTTCAACTGTAAGTCAAATCATTTATGCAGTAGGCCTTACAGGAGTATCCTAAAATAGGTTGCTGGAGCCTCAAGTTTTAAAAGAGAGACCAAACCAAATGACACAGTAGAGTTTTATTAAAGGAAGATTATGAAGCTGGGTTTGGCGGAGTTTTTCCATTTCATTCTTTGGCTAACTACGGGCTCATGTTCTGCACATGATTTGTTGTGTAACTACTAAAAATGATCACAAGGAACTCAGCAATAACATGCTATGGAAACACTAAATAATACCAGAACCGGGGAAGTTATAAGAAAACTGGGATGAGAAAGGACATATGAAATACCAAAGTTAGAGAAAATCTGTCTTTCGTCTCACAACCACTGATCAGACTACCATGCAGTGTTTTTTACATGAAGGGAATTCAGAACCTGGGAAATAAACCCCTTGTGTGGGATAAAGTAGAAAGACAAAGGCTTTTAAAACAGTCATGAGAACTAAAGAAATAGAGGTCCCCTGCAATGCTCACTCCCCCAGAAGAAGTGATGAGACTACCCCCCAGGTCTTGGGTCCCCATTCTCACTGACCTGACCAAGTTCAGGATGGTGAACACAGAGTACTAAGGCCCAGCTCTCCTTTCTGACTCTGGACTACCCCAGTGGGCAAACAAAATGGCTGTCTCTCTTTTGGAATCGTCTATGGCCTCTCGGTAAAGAGCAATGTAGGTTGGTCAACAAGCCAAAGGAACACTATTGCACTGGGAAGAAAAAGCCTAATAGTATACAGTACTTCAATTTAAATTCTCCTGTGGAGTTTCTGGTAAAATCTAGCATCTCCTTGATCCAGTGATGGCTCTCGCCGTCATGTCATGATATACCAGGCCCTCAAGGGTACTCCATTACAAGCTCTCAACGGTCTCTCCACCATGCCAGGGGCAAACCTTTCACCCGAAAGCAGATATAATAGTAGACGAAGTCATACTGTGTTCTGGGGATTTAATAATTTTGAATATAAATTCAACTTCACTCACATTCTACTCCCTTGTAACACTCAAAATCAATCACTTCTCTCAAGTCCCCAAATAACTTAGTTACTGAAATAATTTATACCAGAAGACCCAAGACTCAGTGGTAGATCATGCCACATGGGGATTAACAAAATGGGCAACCATGTTCTAAGATCTTGCTTTAATCCTCAGTTACGTACTGATTCTCTATGGCATGCCGTGCCACTTAAAATGATCAATCTGATTATTCCTTTGGGTCACAGGTCTTGACTAATGTTTGATATGTTTTCCTTTCATTTAGAAGGGTCTGTTGAGCCCAGATGTGACTTCCAGAATCCTTGGGGCTGGGGGAGGAGTCGGGTAGGGGTTAATTATGGTTGCTTTTATAAAAGGCAGATTTTTCGGACCTCACTTAGCAATTCAAAAGTTATTTCTCAAAATGATATTTAGAAAAGACAGGAAAAGGAAAACTGTACACACTTCCCTTCCTCCTTTGAACCACTGACATAAAGAATGGGTTAATGGTCTCAGACAGAAAATGCTTATTCAGTTTCTATGGTTTCATGATCATGAAGGTCATGATGTTAATACTGAAGAGAAAAATATTCTGTTCGATGTCAGAATTAATTTTCTACTGACAGCTTTTATTGGACTTTATTGCTTTATATGATATAGAGTACTTACTATGTGCCAGGCTCCGTTCTAAGTACTTTATATGTATTAAATCATTTAAGCTTCAAAATAATCATAGGAGATGAGTATTATTATTTTGTTTCACAGATGAGGAAACAGAGGCCTAAAGAGATTAAGGGACAAACACAACATCTTCCAGTAGATGGCCAAGATTTGAAATGGGGTAGTTTTGTCCTAGAGCAGGTACACTCAATTTCCTTGATGTATATCTTTTGAGTGCCAGACTATCGGAACCTTAAGGGCAGCACATGGGGCTGGTCCTCCTGCATAGCTCGCAGATCTAACATAGGGTATCCACACACAGTGAATACCTCAGCTCTGGGGTTGGATATTTTCTAGTGAGAATTTGCAGGTTTCAAATTTATTGACCAAATGAATCAGTTTTTATGTTGATGGGCAAGTTAGGATGCAACTCTTCTACATGGAATGATATCTGACTGGACAACTATGGATGAGATGACGGATTTTTAAATAATTTTTAATAATAATTTTAATAATTTTTAATAATGACTTATGCACTCAATGCACTCAGCCACAACTACTGAGCCTGTGTGCCACAAGTACTGAAACCCATGCTACAGGGATGAGAAAAAA